TATATATGTGTGTGTGTGTATATATATGTGTGTGTGTATATATATATGTATATATGTATGTATATAACTGACCACCAACGGGAACACGAGATGTCCACCCTCGTGTCGCCCTGATTTAAGTTCCTCTCTTCAGGTGTGGATATTTGACCAGGAGGGGGGGGGCCCCAGGTTGCTAAGGAGTCGTCAGGGCCACAGTGCCCCGCCCACCACCATCCATCACCACGGCAATGACGGAAAAAACATCCTCAGTGCTGGTAAATAAATATAATTTATCATCTATTTTACCAATCGTTAAATTTAGTTCAACTTTTAATTATTATTTTATTTTTAATTTGTCCTTTTTTAAATTTAATTAATTTATATTTTTATTATGAAACAAATTTTCATATTTTGTTTCATAATAATTTTTTGTTTTGTTATATTTTCTGTATTGTTTACATGTTGAACATTATATTTTTATGTTGTTTAACGGAACGTAAACAAATGTTTGTTTTTCTGCCCCCTGCAGGTCAGGACGGAACGCTGCAGTCGTTCTCCACCGTCCATGAGCGCTTCAACAAGAACCTGGGTCACGGTCAGTTTAAACATTTAACCAGACTCATTTAACATAACAATCAGATGTCAGTCCCGTGTTGCTTCTGCTCAGAAACAAAAACATAAAAATAGATGAAAACGTAACGTTTGTTTTCTTCTAGGCTCCATCAACAAGAAGAAGGAACAGAAGAAGAAGAAGGGTTTGTCCTACGAGGAGCTGCGTCTTCCTGCCATCACAGCGTTCTCCTCCGGTGGGTCTCACTCACTTAAACACGCACGCACACGCACACGCACACACTCTCATACTCTCTCACACACACACATAGACACACACACACACAGAACTCCAAAGAGAAAACCTCCATTTTAAATACGTCCTCTTCTCTGATTGGCTGACAGCTGCCGCTCGTCAGTCGGACTGGGACGGCATCGTTGCGTGTCATCGTGGTCGCCTAGCAACCACCACGTGGAACTACCAGCGGTGCACCATGGGAGCTCATCACCTGCAGCCGCCGGCCACCCGCAGGACCGACATCGCCACGGTAACACCACCTGTGTTTCTCTAAGCTCCTCCCCCTGCTTTCTCTTAAAGGGGTCACGTGACTTCCTGTCTCTGTTCACAGGCGGTCGACATCACTTCCTGTGGTAACTTCGCTGTGATTGGCTCGTCGAGCGGCCGCGTCGACGTCTACAATCTGCAGTCCGGCCAGCACCGCGGTTGCTACGGCAACGATGAGACAGGTGTGTTCACCTGTTCTGGTCTGTGATTGGTGCTGTGTCTCTCCGTCTATCATTAACTCCGCCCCCTTTCTGTTCCAGCTCACAGCGGGGCAGTGCGAGGCGTCGCCACGGACACTCTGAACCAGCTGACACTCACCGCGGGCTCTGATTGGCTGCTCAAGTTCTGGCGCTTCAAGAGCAGGAAACAGGAAGAGCAGCTGAAGCTACTTGCTGCGCCAGCTAGCATGATGCTACACAGAGACAGGTAGCTAACGGTTAGCATGATGCCACACAGAGACAAGTAGCTAATTGTTAGCATGATGCTATACAGAGACAGGAAGCTAACGGTTGGCACGATGCTACACAGACACATGGCTAACAGTGTTTTCTGTTTCTGTTAGCGGGATGTTAGCATTAGCGCAGGATGACTTCACGCTGCTGGTGGTCGACATAGAAACCAGACGGATTGTCAGGAAGTTTGCCGGTCACCACGGCAACATCAACGACATGGTGGGTCCTGGAGAGCTAACGCAGCTAGCAACCTGCTAATGAAGTTCAATGCGAGCTAGCATGCTAACAGGCCGTTCATGCTAACAGCACTAATATTATTGTTTCTTCCGCAGACGTTCAGCCCCGATGGTCGCTGGCTGATTACCGTGGCGATGGACTGTACCATTCGTACCTGGGATCTCCCCTCTGGATTGTGAGAATGGAACAGTCCATCCTTATTTGCATAATTTCATATATTTAATATTAATAAGTTGACAGGAATAACTTTGTTTCTTCTTCTTCAGTCTTGTTGACTGCTTCCTGGTAGCCATGGCGCCGGTGGGCGTGTCCTTGTCGCCGACCGGAGACTTCCTGTCAACGGCTCACATTGACAGTCTGGGCGTTTACCTCTGGTTAGTTACAGCAGCCAATCAGATGTGTTGACCGAATTTTTTGTTTTATATATATATTTTTTATGTTTGTAAAGATGACATCACTGATCTGTGTGTTTGAGTCATTGTCAGCTGATATTCTGAAGCAGCCAATCACAGTGCAGCTCCCCTCCCTCAGGACCAACAAGAGTCTGTGTGGGCCCGTGGGGCTCCGCCCCCTCCCAGCTGACTACCAACCAGCCGAGGTGACGCTGCCGGGGGTCACGGTGGATGAGTCTGAACAGGAAGTGACATCAGAGGAGGTCGATGATGCATACAAGTCAGCCGAACAGTTGGGGGCGGAGCTTGTGACTCTGTCTCTGCTGCCGGAGTCTCGATGGAAAAGTCTGCTCTACCTGGACAACATTAGGGTGAGTCAGCAGAGTACAGGTGAGAGTCCTCAAGTCTGATCTGGAGTCAGTTCTAACAGCTTTATATGAAATCAGGTTAAATATGGTCAGAAAAATTCAGTAAATAGTGAACAGACTAATAAATCACATGGAAATACGAAATACTCACCTGTGAATATTACAAGTCGGGGCTTTTATTGTGAAAGGTGAGAAAGGAAGCAGAGTATCTGGTGTTTGTCAACGTTGAAATGAATAATAGAGTTTGTTGTTCTGACTACAGTGTGTCGTCTCATAAATATAGTTCATATATAAACAAAACAATTTATATAATTTACATTGAACCATAATGTATAAATAAACAAAGTACTTTATATAAATTAAATATAATTTGTATTGTTTATAAAAGTGTGTGTGTGTGTGTATGTGTGTGTGTGTGTGTATGTATGTGTGTATATATATATATGTATGTGTGTGTGTGTATATATATGTGTGTGTATGTGTGTGTGTGTGTGTATGTAT